CTCTCTCTCGCTCTCTCTCTCTCTTTCTCTAACTCTCTCCCTCTCTTGCTCTCTCTCTCTGTCTCTCTTTCTCTCGCCATCTCCACCGATCTGAAAAGTCCTGCCAGGCTGCCATGCTGGTTTTGCGTAGACCGTCAGAATGCCCACACATGTACGCGATCTGTAGTCGGGATTTGCGCGGTGGCGATTAGATTGGGTTCAGTCGCCGCGGACGAGCAGTGTCGTGTGATCCAACAGGGATTTCTGTCCGTGAGTCCGATGTGTGATAGGGAGTCTATGACATTCGGGGCCATTTGATCGTGACGTTTGATTGGGCCGTGTGATGAAGGCGGAGATCGCCTCTCTGTTGCGCTCTCTCTCTCTCGCTATCTCTTTATCTCTCTTTCTGTCTTTTATCTCGTTCGTTTCACTGCGCTTGTCTGTGTCATTCACACAAAGTTAGCGAACGTAACTGACAAGCGCAAACAAACGAACGAGACAGAACCAACAACGCCGTGTTCCACCACCATCGTCGTCAGTTTTCTATCAGTGCCTCTATGTTGTGAATCTAGTTCCATTGGCGACCACTCGCCTCGATCAGATGGCATGCTCACATGTCCACGTGGCAGGTCCTGAACAAGCGTGGGCTCGTTGATGGATGCGGGGCTCTATGCGGCAACAGAACGTTGTCGAATAGAGCCCCACACCCATCAGCGTGGCCACGCATGATCAGGATTTGACACGTGGACGTGTATGCCGTCGTGTTCAACTACCATCTTCGTCCCCGTCGTTAGTTTGTCTTCAGCGCCTCTATTTCGTTCGTCTTATGCGTTGGCCTGTTTCTTTCGCGAACTTACCTCGGGGTGCGTTTGCGGATCTCGTTCCATTGGCGACCACTCGCCCCGATCAGATGGCACAGTTAAATGTACACGTGTCAGTTCCTGAACAAGCGTGTGCACGCTGATGGACGCAAGGCTCTATGCGGCAGCAGAATGGATGCCAGGCTCCAATATAGCCCCGCATGATGGACGTGTGGCCACGCATGTTCAGGAACTGACACGTGCACGCTGATGGACATGTGGCCACGCATGTTCAGGACATGACATGTGGACGTGTGAGTATGTCATCTGATCGGGGCGAGATGAAGGAGTTTCGGGAGCAAGAATGCATGCGTTTCATTGGCGATCACTCGCACCGATCAGATGGCACACTCAGACGTCCACGTGTCACGTCCTGAACAAGCGTGGCCACGCCGATGGATGCGGGGCTCTATGCGACAACGGGGCTCTATGCGGCAGTAGAATGGATGCGAGGCTCCAATATAGCCCCGCACCCATCCGCGTGGCCACGCATGTTCAGGACATGACATGCGGACATGTGAGTGTGCCATCTGATCGGGGCGAGATGAAGGAGTTTCGGGAGCAAGAATGCATGCATTTCATTGGCGATCACTCGCACCGATCAGATGGCACACTCAGACATCCACGTGTCACGTCTTGAACAAGCGTGGCCACGCTGATGGATGTGGGGCTCTATCTGATTGTCGCCACGCATGTTCAGGAGTTGTCACGTGGACATGTGAGTGTGCCATCTGATCGGGGCGAGTGGTCACCAACGAAACGGGACCCGTGAATGCAGCCCGAGAATGTTGCGACACGCCCTTCGAGATTGTGTCGTCACTTCAGATGTTTTTTTAAAGTGTTACTCGCTTGTCGTCAATATGTTGTCTCTCTCACGAACTGCGATATAAGGATTTCAATCGTATGTTGTCGAACACGAGAACATGGTTTCTCACGAATCGTGTCTCTTCTGGATTGCACATGGACTTTCTTCACGCCGAATTAATTTTTATTGCGCTCGGTTTGTTTATTCGTTTCCTGCGTAAGTCGCGTCGTGCAGTTCGCTCGGCGTTCGGTTCTGTATCCGTAAAATGTCCTCCACATTCGTCGAATTTTTCACATTTTTCGCCAATCTTCCTCTCGCCGACACGAACAATTTTTTCTTATATTTCTTTTGTGCCGTTTTATTAACGGGTCTCATTGCGAATTCCAAAATGGACAACACCATCCGCACGATCTGCACATGGAGAGACAGAGAGCTAAAGACAGGCTCTCTCGCTGCGCATCCTCTTCTTGTCGACATCTCTATCGATCTTAGTCTCCCTTCCGTGTCTATGCGGGTTTTCTGCCTTTCTCCAATCCTTGTGTATCGCAGACAGTCGCTCAACCGATCTCAGGTTGGTCCCCTTCTGAGTGCAATCACAGATCAGTAATCCAAAGACTGCTACGACAGATTCGAAGACACAGTAGGCGAACGTGAATTCAAATCTTTAAAGTTTAAACCTTATCAAACCTCGCGTCAGCCGAACGCCGTGAGGAACCCTTCTGCTGACTTGGACACAGGACAGGACACGGAGCGATCAAATGCTCATAGGGTATTGTCGACGGCGACATGTTTGACCAGAAAGGAGGACGGCAGCCCACCCTGTCCATACCATCTTGTGGTGGCGCAACAACTGACGTATCCGAGCCACCCTTGATAATTTCGGTTGCTCCGAGCCACAACCCACTAAAACTCACGGGGCGACCACTAACCTAGGCACCTCGGCGAAGTTCGGATTAATCCGAACCACACTAACGACAAATTTGGATTTGTCACATGCTCAGACGGTATTTATGACACCGCACGTTCCGATAAACGTGAACGACGAAATCCGTCTTGGATTAATCCGAACCACACCTCCGAAAGGATAGGGTCTACCCTCTGCTCACAGGTCATTGAGGAAAACACGCCGTGCAACACGCCGTGCCGATGTCCTCCTCTTGTGGTCGGCCTAATTCGGATGCATCCGAGTCACAACGTCGGTCTTTTGACTCTGCCCAGTTCGGATGTGTCCGAACTACCACGCTGTCTTCGTCTTCGACCATTTGCTCTACGAAGGGCAGTCTGATGACGAGGGTCAACGATGCCTCTTGGATTGGGCGAGCAACAACCAACTAAAACTCACGACGACGACGATATCCCCCGTGATGATGCACAAATTATAATGACACACTACGACAATCGCGGGGAGGTCCGGTGTGTGGTGGGGCGACAACAAAGCGAAGCGCCTCGGCGAAGTCGGATTAATCCGAACCACACCGGTGGCATTTTCGGATTTACCACATGCGCAGAGGGTATTGACGACGTCGCACGGTCTGATAAACTTGTACGTCGAAAGCACACGGTGTCGGCGCAGCCTGTCGTGGTCGCACGTATCGGGACAGCCTCTGTCGAAATCGGATAAATCCGAGCCACAGACACCTTAAACACTCAAGGACGAAGACACACCGTGCGAAATTCGGTTGGACCCGACGACAGCTGGGGAATAACGGAAGCTTGGATGGCTAGATGGTCATCAACAGACCGTGGGGTACATCCGCCGGTCCCCGTCTCGGATTAATCCGAGCCACATTTGCGAAGTTCAGGTTCAACCAAACCGAGCCTCCGGCAGGATAGGTTTAACCCAGTGCTCACAGGTCGGCGACGAAAACACGTGCTGTAGATGACCTCTTGTGGACGACCGTCTCTGGACCGCGCTGTTCGAATTCGGATGCATCCGAGTCACAACCGTTACCAACTCAGAAGGACAAGAAAACTCGAGTTCGGTTTCGGACGGGCCGAAAGGGGGTGGTCCACACCGCTTTGGAGCTCGGATTCATCCGAACTACAACGGCGGACTTTACAATCCACTTGTCGACTTCGGATGACCACGTATTCGTCTTCGTCTACCGTATCAGCGTTCTAGGGCCTTCTTGCGAGGTGTTGCTTTTCCCGGTGCAGGTGCCTATACGACATCGGTTTTTCGACTGCGCCTGCTTCGGATGTATCCGATCTATCCTGCAGTCTTCGTTTTTGACCATTCATTCTCTTAAGGGCAGTGTGACGAGGATGCCTCACGATGCCTCGGATTCATCCGAAACGTGCAGGCTTGTGGACCACTGTCGTCTAACTATGACTGAAGTTCGTTCTTTTGGAGTCCAGGTGACCGATAACAAAATACATGATGTGGGTCGTGGTTGATGTTGGGACGTGCTGACTGTTCTGAGTGAATGTGGGTTCATTTCCTCTGTGTGTTTCAGGGAATGGCTTCACACAGACGAGGCCGCTCCGCTGGTGGTTCCGCCCCGCATGGAGAGGAGCGTCGAGGGACGACGTCGTCGCCGGCAAGGGAAACGAGTCGGGGAGTTAGAGGTGGGGAGGAAGAACGACGTGCTCAAAACTTGTGGTGCGACTACAGCAAACGTGTCTGGTATTTGGACTGGGCGAGCCAGGACGGCTCCGACCCTTTGCAACCACCGTGCGGGCCACTCTTGTTCGTCGCCGTTCGCGCCGACAGAACGCGTCGCGCAGGGTCCATCGTCCAATGGGTCGACGATGGCGAATACAATTTCAAGTTTATGTTGAAGAAGCATTACAGAAGTGATGGTTCTGTCGACGGCATCGCAAAGGGATGCAAGGTTGCCGGGAGGATGTTCGGCGGGTACGACCGTCGTGCGATGTCTTTGCCTCACTTTGTCCCGCTAGCGCCGGGGCATGACGAGGCCGTTCACATCACAGACTTCCTCGAGGTCTGGGCGAAATCTGGTACCTCTATCAGTGTCGTGGACGTCGGACCTAGAACATCGATCAGTGGTCATGTTGGGTTCGCGGGAGGAGAGTGCTCTGAAGGGGGGATGGGAGGTCAGGGTGGCCTGCCAGCTACGCCTCCTGATCAAGAGGTGGGCATGTCAGACGACTCGGAGGACGACCATCCGCGTGCTCCTTTGAAACCGGGCTTGCATGTATCTCGCCGCCACGGTTTGCTTGGGAAGTCGACGCCACATGGAGGCGGCGATGGCGAACGGTTGCGACAGGGCTCAGAATCGACGACTCCTCGTGCTCTGGTCGAAAGGATCGGTTCGTTCGTTCGTGGCATGCAGGTGGCCGAGGTTTCACCTAGAGATCGAGCGGGTGGTCCGTAGGTTCAAGAGGTGCGTGGGTCAGATGAGACGAATCGCCGGGCCCGACCAGTGCTGGCGCAACTGCAGACGGAGTTGAGCCAGAAGCGAGAAGCAAGTGGGAACGTCGCCGGTGAGGAGGAGGTGTCCGAGCAGGGGCTGTTCCGTGAGAGATCGGCTGAAAGGACTCAGTCGGGAGGCAAGCGCAACTTGCCGGATGAGGAAGAGCGAGAGGGACTAGGTGCTCTGAAGAGGCAGAGAAAGGTAGGAGGGAGTGCTCGGACGCCAACAACACGAGAGGGCGGTTCCGTTGAGAAGAGGAAAAGGGTTGAAGGTGGGGATGAAACGCCAAAAGACTCGTCGACACAGCGAAGAACCGGTGAGTCTTCTGGGAAACGGTCGAAATCATCGAGGGGGAAGAAAGCAGATGAGGGCGACAACGGGGAGGGGGATGACGACGTGGAGATTAACCTCAACGCCTTTAACCTCGACAATGCGTTCTTCCTCGAGATGCAGACAGGGGTGCAGAAGGACGTCGTGTTGCACATCCATCCCGAAAGAATATTAGCTATTCCAAACAGGGAAGACGCGTACAACCACCGATCCTTTGACGAGTTCCTCGTTGATACCATCGCGTCGGCTATGATCGACTGCTACGAACGCAAAGACATGAGATACACGAAGCCCATTTTCGTTCTCGCTCCGATCGTCGTGCCTCCAGAGAACGGCGAGCCTGTTGTGCACGTGCTGCCTGCTGACTTCGACAGCTCACACCCGGAGAAATACTGGTATTATCCTGTGTGTGGACAGCATAACGCGAGGGCGGCGATGATGGTGAAAGACCATCCCGTGTTTGATTACTACAACTTCTGTAAATGGCCGTTCAGACCGATCTACTTCCCTGACGACGAGTTCGACGGCTACGCCCATGTCAGCTGTGAAGACAACATGAAAGACAAGAAGAATCCACCGCGCTTGCAGGTTTTGTCTATGCGGGACATTCGCAATATCTGGAAAATTAAGGGCAAACCGCG